AGCTACGAACGCTGCGACGAACAGCGTAGCCCGAGTATCCCTGAAACAACGCAGACGAAACGGCAATCAAGAGCTAATCAATGTTCTCGTATAACGATGCATCACCACTACTGCTGAACACAAGTGCAGTCGAAGAGCACGCACATTAATCAATATCCCCATGGATCGATAGCTGCGCGAAAACCAGCATCTCTTGGCAAAGCTAACCTTTCGGAAAGAAACTACCACTCATAGCTATCTCGTTATCAAAAAAGCAACATACACAACATAAATTTAAACAAAAGAAATAAAAAATAAAATGACACGTTTTTACTTAATTCTTCGTTAGCCTAAAATGAAAAGCAAACGAAATGTGCGCGCACCGCATAGAAAAGACACCTCACAAATTCCTAACACATTAATGCTGTTACAGAGCGTTAACGAGGACAAAAACAGAAGCAGCGACGAAACACATTGATGCCCACATAAATAACAAACAGTAACAAATCGTTGAACTGCCTCGAAGTGCACCGATTTCCATCCAAGCCGAATCATTTCGAACCGACTGAAACAAAGTTCAAACGCCCAATGAAGCCATTAATACTCGTCCCACCGTCATCCAAAAAATGATCCGCAGGTTTTCAGTCACTAACTTCGAACAAACCGCGAAATTACGGAAACATACTTTAATCCACTGCACTGCAGCACTGTGCATTACTGAAGGATTAAAGTTGCAGACAAAAACTGACATAACCTCTTTAGCTTTTGAAGGTCACGCCTATTTACTGCGAACAATAAAGAAAATAAATCATTTTTTTGGCAGTAGCATTTAAGAATAGCGAATGCACCGTTTTCAAGTAATACCTTGAAAATAGTAATCTAGATAACGTTTGTATCGGATCCAGACACTGGTTTTAACGTTTATAAACTTATACAGTCAAAACAAATGTTTTTTCATATTACTACCATCAGTGGTGAAATACGTCGATTTTATGCAGAATTTTATGTTAAACTTAGCAAGTTTTATCATCGGATCCCTTCACGAGCAAAAAAATTATTCAACAGACATTTTAAAGTTTTTTTTACTAATTCGTAAGGAATCATTGAGTATACCAACTCTGCTGAGAATTCAATAAATTTCGCTATTAACCAGCATCAGCTGACAAACCACGTGGAATAGGCAATTCTGTGCATTTAACGCTATCACTCGTCATGAATGATATTACATGGTTTGGCTTACGAGAAGCCTTAGTAATTTTCGAGTTTTGGTAGACGTTTAAGCTTTCAAACAGCCAAGTCGAATTATTTTCCCAACTCCAATTCGAAATTGCGAAGTCTCGTATCCGATGATATCACATAGCAAGTTTATCATAAGCGGAAGTTCTCACTTTTGAGCTTTACTCGTTCCATCTTCAGCATAAAAATCAGACAAACCAAATTGCACTTTTTTACAAAAAAATGCTGTCTCAAAATGCACCGAACAACATCCGAAGCGTCCGAGATTTTGCAAGTTATAAATTTATGCATTATCATTCATCAGATATTTCTGCAGTTCTGTAGCGTGTAAGAATCTATGGAATATACTAGCCTGCAGAAGGATCTTAATACAAGACGCAATAGCTGCAGATTTGGAGACACATAAGTTTACTAAGAAGCATTAGTAATGGAAACAGTCATGTTGAGCTGATCGTGCAGTTTTCCTGTATTGCTCATTCTGCTTACATGTTTGGCTTCTTGGAATTGCTTCCAGAATTTTAGTCTTTCTATGCTTGGC